AGACCAAAATAGAACTTTAAAAAATATTGTTACTTGGGTGAAAGTTTACAAAGCAAATTGGATTTTCATTCAGCAATTCATATTTTGTTTTATGACTTTGATTGCAATCCCCACAATGTAACCCCATTCTTTGTACTTTCTCCCTATGTTTATCATTTCCCTTCATCCTTCTTTCCTATTCCTTTCTGCCTTCTGAGCTTTCTCAATGGACAAATGCTGCCCCTTTGATCTCATATGATTGATTATTCCAATGAGTGTGTACCTATCTCGTGTTAATGTTTGTCCAATAGGCCTGTCTGTCATTTGGCTGAAATTTGAGTCATGGTAATGAGTTCAGTTCCAGGCTTGAAGGGTGTCTAAGGGACATAGCCTCATGGGTCCTACCAGTCTCTATCAGACGAGAAAGCCCAATCTTTTTTATGATTTTGAGTTTTGTTCCTATTTTTTTTTCCCACTCTAGCCAGGAGCTTCTATTGTGATCCCTTTCAGAGTGGTCAGCAGTGGTAGCTGGGTGCAGCTTCTGGTTTCAGCATCATGGAGCCTGGGGTTCACGTGGTCCATTAGTCCTTTGGACTAATTATTTCCTTATGGCTTTGATTTTCTTCTCTCTTCTTTGCTCTGGACAGTGAGACACCAATAGTTGCACCTTAGCATAAGCTTAGCTTAAGCATAAGCTTAAGACCCCAGTTGCAACTCACCAAAGTAGGATGTAGAAGCTTGTGGACTATATTATGCCAATTGACCTTAGTTTTCCTTAAGACTATGGTCCTGAGAACCTAGGTGTAGTGACTCAAGTTATAGCTAAGAAGTTTTCATAACTTTGCCTCCTGTATACTCTACTATATTCATGGATAATTTGCAGCACATATAAATACATATGTAGAAATATCCTCTGTCACACCTATGTTGTTTGTCATTATAGTTCTATTCACCTTCCCACCTCTGATCAGCTTGAGTGTCTGTGTATGTATCCACTCGTAGCTTACTGCTATTACTGTTATTGCAGGATTGGGTAGGTAGTACTGTTTATCTTTGCTGCCTTTAACTCTTGTGCTCCTTCCAGTGTCTTCCTCTGCCTTGATAATTTTGTGTAAAACTCCCCTTATTACCTTTCCCTTCACCCCGGTTAATGAGTGTCTACCCTCTAGTTAGTGATTTGTTCTCCCTTCCCCTCTCAGCTCCAGTAAACTTCAAAGAGTGATTCTTTCTGTGTGTAAACCTTTTCTTGGATGAACCCAAAAGATTTTATGCTGAGTAAAATTAGTTAATCACAAAATAACAAATATTGTATGAGACCACCACTATAAAAAATCAAGAAAAGGTTTACACAAAACAGAACTTTTGATTCTCTTCCTCAACCTGTTCTTTTCCCAGTCTTCCCACTCTAGTATGTGGATCACCAGCCATCCAGTTGAACAAACCCCAAACCT